TAGAGAAGGGGACCAATTGGTGCCGAGTTCTCGAGTCCCGGACCAGCTATTGTCTCATTGCCATCAACTTTCGGTATGAATTGTATTCATTTAATGCATATTTAAATATCTAACAAAATATTAAGTCAATTATTCAAAGTTAAATATACAGTGAATGGCTTTATTTGAAAGTTTTTCTTTTAAGTGATAATTCGTTAAATATTAGACATTAAGTCAAACCTAAAAAAGTTCTTATAATTTATTTTTCGACAAAAATTCAAACTAAACTAATGTATAAAAACTTTGCACACCTTTTATGGATTGTTAGATAAATAATGTAATAATATTTGGGAATCGATTAAAAACCGGTTTATTTAAGCTTAAAGACCTAATTCTTAAACATTGAAAGTATTATTTGATTTATTATTTAATTAGTTATTCATATATCGGATAACAATGTATACATTGTATATAATTTTAATACATGTATTATATGTACCTAATTTCAAGTTAGCACATTAATAATTATTTTAAATAAAGCTCTATTTTAATATAGAATAATATTTTGGAAAATATTTTTAATAAAGCTTTACTATTAAAAAAATTATTAGTAAATTCTGAATAATATATACACCAAGAAAATTATGCAAAGATCTAAAGACATAGCGGGGGCCTATTAGCCAATCATCACAGTATTGACAGCTCATTTATTACCGTGGTAATATATTAATCAAAATTGAGAATTTACATTGAGTGCATCATTTACAAAAATTATAATGTGGATTCAAATGACCCATTATTAATAATCATTTTAACACTAATTATTTTATTAATACTTATGTTTAAATATTTTTATGAGTGATTCATAAGATATAATATTTATTTAGTCGTATATTCTATGACATAGAATTACTGACAGCGCGTCAGTTCTCATTTAGGTACAATTATTATTATGTTTATTTGTGATATAATAATACAAGAATTGACTTACATAGTAGTTACCAGGTAAATTTAACAATGTAAATTGTTCATGGTAAATTGTTACGATTTAAAATATAATTAATACCAATATTACAATTTGTAATTATAAGTCAATATTTTGTTATAATACTGTAGAGTATATTATTTGGATTACAAAAACTTATTTTGTATACAATTAAGGGTCGAATAGCAGAGAGGGTCGGAAGACGACGTCTCCGGCCTATACTTTTGGATCGAAATATGAAAAGAAAATAAACGCCAAAACTCCCGGTTTGTTGACTATTGCTGTGAAACGATATATAAATTACAATT